ACTTGGTTCAGCGTAAGAAAAAGCGACCCCAACAAACGCAGAAATTATCTGAGCACGTTCTTCTTGTTGCTCCTACGGATTCAACAACCTCTCCGTCAGCCCTCCAACATCAATTGGCTTCTAAGCTCAATCTAACCAAACTTGGCATCCCAATTCAGCAGATCCGCCCCACTCGTTCTCAAGAGCTCCTCATTCGTTGCCACACCAAAGAACATCTAACCAAGTTAAAAGACTCTCTACATTCAGAACAACAGCTACATAAGAGTATTAAAATTCGAGAGCCAAAACCACAAAGGGACTCCATCATTCTTTTTGGAGTGCCAGAAGAACTGAGTACACAGGATTTAATAGAAGCCTTTCAGGCACATTTGCCAACAGATAACGAAGGAGCCATTAACCCGCGTACTCCCTTGCACCGATCAGACGCAAAAAATAGCTGGGTTATTAGTCTTGATAAGGACTACTCATAGAAACTTGGCACCAGTGGCAGACTCTTCTTGGGCTTCAACTCTTGCCCTTTTAGAAAGTATTACAGAGTGTTTCGGTGCTTCAACTGTCAGGGGTTAGGACATACAAGCAGATTCTGCAAGAACTCCCCTGTCTGTGTAAACTGTGCAGGTTCTCACGAACAGAACGAGGACACGTGTACGGCACCTCCAAATTGTTCTAATTGCATTAACAACAACATTAAAAAAGGAACAGACTTTGATTGCTAGCACTCTGCGAATTCGAGATCATGTCCATCATACAGACAGGAGCTGCAACGCGCACTCCAACAGGCAGAATAATGAACTCAGATTTCCAATCGGCAGCTACTGAGCCTATTCTCCATATGAAGGATTTAAGCTTCTGCAATGTAATCTACAAAAATCTCGGGCTGCAACTGCTACTATGCTACATACACAATTTGAGCAAGGTATAGCTTTAGCCCTCTTACAGGAGCCTCATATCAATCGTGACAACACTCTTACAGGATCCATAGCACAAAATAAGATCTATTTATCGACTAATAGGAAAGCTGCCATAGTTTATAATGGCCTTATGTCACCAACTATTTGGAGGGCCACCACACATACCATTTCTATTGTCATCACATGTAAAGAAGAGAGTAACCTGCTCGTGGTTTCGGCATACTTCCCTCCTAGTATAAACCTGGATCAGATACTACCTGAAACTCGACTATATTAGGACCTGCTCCTTCATCAATATCATACTAGGTGGAGATGCAAATGCCGCAAGCAGCCTTTGGGGTTCCCCAAATGAAAATTCACGTTCGGCCTACCTGCTTGATTTTATTGAGTCTAATCATCTTGCAATAATAAATGCCGCAGACTCTCCTCCCACTTTTCTCACCTCTAGAGCTAAAGGATGGCCGGATATAACACTTGCCACCCCTAAAATAGCGACCAAAATTACAGACTGGACAGTCGTCGATTGGATCACCCTCAGTGACCACAATGCAATTACTTTCAGCCTTAATACCAGCTTTGACATACAGCAGAAAAGGAGATTCAAAACAGCCTTCGGTGGCCTGGACAAGCTGAAACATTCTCTGACTCCTTCTGTTGATTCATTTATAGCAGCTTTTAATGAAACTAGCACTGCTGAACAACTTGATATTACGTACAATAGATTTATTGAGGTGGTTGTTACTGCCTGTCAGCACTCATTTAGGACTCGACAAGTAAAATCCGCAAAAGTGCCGCTTGGTGGAACAGCCAACTTGCCCGTGAAAGAACTCAACTACGCAAACTCCGACGACAGGCGCAAACTGAGCCTATTATCGAAGTCAAAATGCAACTTTTTACGAAATTTAAAAAAGCTCAAGCGCATTACAAGCAACACATAAATGTTGCAAAAGAAGAATCGTGGAGGAAGTACTGCTCTCATACCGTCGAGAAATATGGCACTACTTTTCATATGGCCATGGATAAAGTGTTTCATCCTTCACTTCTTCCCTCCTCTATTCTAAATACGGCTAGAGATCCTGCGGACACTATTCGCTTTGTAATGAGCTCGTTGTTCCAGACGGACGACGCTACGGAGGACACCACTGTTCATGCATCACTGAGAGCTAACTTCCACAGCTATTCTTTTTTCCATCCCACGTTGGAACCTCTTCCCAGTGAAGCGGAAGTCAAGCACATTGTCACAAAGTTAAACCCATCAAAGGCGCCAGGACCTGATGGAATTGATAATCGAATTATTCAGATGATACACTCATTTGCTCCCACCTTAACTCTGGCTTTTGCTAAAGCCTGCTGGCGAGCACGTCATTTCCCTACTGCCACCAAAAGGGCTGAAGTAGTTTTATTTCACAAAAAAGACAAAGATCCCTCTCAGCCCACCTCTTACAGACCCATCTGCCTTCTACCGGCCTATGGTAAATTATTAGAAAGACTTGTCTTGGGGAGATTAAACTTCTTTCTTCAACGGAACAACCTGCTGGTTGCCAATCAATATGGCTTTCGCACTGGTCTTTCGGCTGAACACGCCATTGAGGAATTACTTACCACCATCCGACAGAACCAACAGACTGGCTTACACACTTTGGTCACCAGCATAGATATACAGGGAGCCTTTGACTCTTTGTGGTGGCCGGACATCACCGATGTCCTGGCCACTATGGGATGTCCATCAGACCTGCAGGACCTCATTCGCAACTACTTGTGCAACCGATCCGTGCAGATTACAACTGATGCCTGTACTATAGTTCATGAACTGCAACGTGGGTGTCCCCAAGGTTCTTGCTTGGGACCTTTATTATGGACATTGGTAGCTGATTCAATTCTTAGAAAACTGGATAATTCCGAAGACTTCAAAATTATTGCATACGCCGATGACTTTATTCTCATCACCAGAGGCAAATCATGGAAATGATCACTCAGCAGTATCTTGATCATTTTGCTTCATGGGCAAGAGATCACAAGCTTACAATCTCTGTTCCGAAAACAACAGCCTTGGTGATAGGTGCTAATGGCCCTTTCAAGCGAAAACCATCTATCAAACTAATGGGCACCTCCATTAAAATTGTTCGACAAATGCGTTATCTGGGAATCATCCTAGATCATCGCTTATCTTGGATCCCGCATCTACGATATATACAGTCTCGCACTCTTCACCTAAGCAAAACGCTCAAAAGAACTGCTGCAGCTTCTTGGGGAGTTTCCTCCAAACTGCTTAAGCAATGGTATCCTTACTGTCACACAGAGACTGACTGGCACTGTACGGCTCTGGCATCTGGGCTACTAGACTCACAGCACATGAACGACGTCTGCTTAACACACTATACAACGTCCTCATCTATTGAGCATCAGCAGAGGCTACCGAACAACCTCTACAAGAGCTCTGCAGATTTTGACGGGCCTTCCTGCCCTGGATCTGATAGCCGAAAGAGAAGCTACAATCTGTCGTGTCCTCCGGCTTCGCAAAGATCATTCACTCTGGGGCCATCAATACCTCTCCACTACCTATGAAGCCAGTGTACACGAACTACCATGTCATCCGGCACTTCATGACCTATATAAGCATATCAACTTAGAATACTTAGGACCTGGCGTCAACACAATGAATATATTCACAGATGGCTCCAGAATGGAGTCAGGCACTGGTTCAGGACTCTGCGTGATGACTGACAACACAGTTATAGCCAAATGGAAAAGGAGACTTAACATCAATAATACAGTCTATCAGGCTGAGTTGACTGCTATTCAAAAAGCAATTAACATTGCCAGCAAATTTCAAACACACGTCCAGATCCACAGTGATTCAATGTCTAGTCTTCAAGCACTAGGAGGTGGATTGAGCAGACATCCTATTGTCCAAAAAAATACAGAGACAGATACTCAATCTGACACCTACAACTCGGCCTATCTTATCATGGGTGCCAGCACACACCGGTATCGTGGGCAATGAAATTGCGGACACTCTAGCCAAAGATGCGGCTATGAACTCTACCCTGCTGGGATTCTACCTCCCATTGCCACGATCACAGCTTAAGCGCTCCACCTTCCTGAACTTGCTTACTAAATGGCAGGACTTATGGAACAACTCCACCACTGGCCGCAGAACTTATAACTTTCTGTCGAAACCAGATACCACAGGACTTGTCACATCATCTGCCTTAACTACGTTTCTTTCCGGACATGGTCCTTTTCCAGATTATCTTTTCCGCTTTGGCCTAAAAGACACGGACTTATGTAACTGTGGCCAAAGAGGATCTCCTGATTATTTTCTCTTTGACTGTGAATTAACTCGATCGCACCACTTCCATATACCTGCTGAAAGGCATAGGGGTCAGTGGGCTCAACACCTCCTGAAACATAATGGAAGTCATAATAGACTTATAAGGATTTTGCATATATGTAATGAACTCTATGGCTTCTAGATGCTTACAATGCACCTTACATCATAGAAGTTTTGTTTTCTTATATTTTATTTATTTATATTTATCTTTTTATATTTTTTTTATATTTTTTATTATGGTATCATGTCATATGTATATATTTATTTTGTACAATCATGTTAAACTTTGTTTGTTTGTATAGCATAGCACATGTAAAAGATGTATGTTACCAAATTTTGTGACCCTGTAAATTTGTAAAATTGTATTTTGATTAATAAATGCTCGCTGGCCTGTCGGTCCTTCCTGCAGGTGATGGCGATCGCTAGTGGTAGAATAGTTTCACTGATCAGGCGTTACTCCGCTTGGCTTACCTTAGGACGGAGGCCTGATCAGTGGTGTCCTGTACCTGTCTTGAATTAATTAATTTTTAATTAATTCACTTAGTTAATTCAAATGTACCTCAAATGCGAGATGTTCAACAGTTGCCCCTGTATGGTCATGTATCCACACTTTTAATTATTAAATAAACTCCAGGGGAGGACGCGGGATATATGCCTGTTAACCTCTGTTAAACTTCAGGTGTCCCCGTCCTCCGTCACTTGTCACCTGTCTTCAATTATGCATTTTGATTACAGCAATTAATAAAGTTCCTTACTGCATAACACAGCGGAAAGCTTCTGGAGTGACATCCGTTATCGGTATGGGTACCGGGCCAACATACGGAGTATGGTAGAAGACTTTCTCAAAGAAAGGACTGCCTAAGGCCATGATGAGCTTGTGCCCTTTGAAAAGCTGCCCTTGCACTTCGAAGGCGACGTCTGCGAACAAGTCCGGGTTATTGAATAGAAACTTAACCCTCGAGAAGACACCCGAGTTGAAAGATCTCCAGTTGCAATCTGCAAAATAAAATTACTTCATGAATTGCCAAATTTCGCCTTTATGCAATTTCAAGCAAATAAAATTAAAAAGTAACAAAGCAGTGTATGATCTTAGCGGCCAACGAGTTGCACACCTTTTCCGGCATTGTTCAAAAACTAGACACGTTCGAAAAACCCCTGCATAAAACTGTGATGCATTTTCGCTAGCCCGGCACAAATGATAACTTACCAAACAGTGATTATTTTCCTATTAGTGTGGCACAAAATGTCACCAAATAATAAGTTCTCGAAATTATTTCTATTATACATGTATTGTTAAAGCATAATACATCCAAAAACAAAAAGTTCTTAAGATCTGTTTCTCATACTAAATTTGTGTGCTTTTTAAATGATGGGAAAATGTTTTCCTTCGGTTTGATTTCCTTGGAATGTTTCTAATAAATTTAGAGAAAACGGAACTTTAAACACTTCTTAAAAATAAACTTAGCACCTGTCCATACTACGACGTGCCTGAATTCATTGTTCTTTATTTTCCCTTTCAATTACAAAATGAGCCTATACATGATTGAATATCATGCATGAATACTACCATTGCTCGAAACATAACGTTTACTTCACTAATTCTGGCAATGGAACGACTTTCTTCACATAGAAGAGCAATTGAATAATACAGTATCAGGTTCAATGTTCCGTCTTACTTTCTTCGGGAACATGCAAGGACCTGACTCGGAACAGAGAGCTTACTAAAGCTATGTTCAATCACTGTGGGAAGTAGACAGGATACCACAAGAAGGGTATACAAAAACCCTTTATTTTTCTCTATTTACAAATAATTCCGTACTTCGGAATACACAGAACCCACTACTTGTGTGGTCTAAACGTAAAAAATATAAAAATAAAACTAAACTCTAATTTTAACTTTAAAATAATAAACGTGGAAGATTGGCCTTATATTAACAGGAAGCCGTGTGTAGTACAGAGAACTGTGAACACTACAGTACGTTTAAAAATTATCAAGAGGATTAAAACCTGGCCTGGACGGCAACCAGCAACTGAGTAAAACTTTTAAGGTAAGCGGCCTGCTTCGACTCACTGCTTCCTCTCTCTCGCTTGGCAAAAAGCCACAACTTAAATACTTGGCGTTCGCCAGACAAACTTTGCATAAATACATTAACGCTTATAATTCTGGCCGGAAGTAGAAAATAAGAAGTGATAGTAAAGATTTAAAATAAAATAAACGTTAGTAAAACTTAAGATCCTTACAACAGGATGACCCAAAAGTCCGTTAACATTTGAAAATTCAATAATTCAGTATATAGTGTATGTAGAGAGGTAAAAACTGACACACGTGCTTGAAATATCATAAGATTTTACTGAAGCCCCCCCCCAAAAAAAAGTGCTTAAAATGTTCAACAGTTGGCGCCTCATGTGATAACAAAAGCTATAATGAGTATAACAATTAATTTTTAGCAAAGACTGTTATTTATAAGAAATGTTCAACATGTCGGCCGTCATTCATCAACATTACCTGTAGTCGAGGGATGATGTTGAGAACAGCACTGTACGGCATGTCTGTAGCGAAGCAGGTCGTTTCGACGCCGGGGCAGTTCGACGCCGTACGTTTCGACGCAGAGGCAGTTCGACGACATATTTGTTTTCGTATTTTTATTTTTTTTAAGAATAAATATGAAGTAATATAAATAAGTAATATGCCTGATTTTTATTTATTGAATTAGCGATTGTTTGCATGCATATTTGAAATAAATATATGTGTGTATATGTGTGAAAGTGTTCTAGATTTTTGTTTGTGTCCCAGATTAGTGAAAAGCCCCCTCGCCAACGTCAAGGCCCCGGGACATGAGGGAGGTTTTTTTTTTTATTTGTTTATTTATTTCATAAAACAGCATCAAAAAGGCAAAATACACAAATGGTAAATAAACATATGGTTACAAAGTAGTTATATTATATTGCAGACAAATATAATTACAGATAAATAAGATTACACGTAAACAGTGGCGTAGCTAGGGGGGGAGCAAGGGAGGACATCTGTCCCCGGGCGCAGCATCCAAGGGACGCAAATTGATGCTACGAAATTTCTTAATGAAATGTTTTCCATTCTTGGTACACAGAAAGGGGCGCAAATTCTTCAGTTGTCCCCTGGCGCTGGAAACTCTAGCTACGCCCCTGCACGTAAATAAGATTGAGATAAATACGATTACATCACAGAACTATTATTATACTAATCCATTGCAAAGTTATGCGCCACACCTTTCAGGTATTCCATTATTTCTCGATTTTCAAAATCTTCAACTATTACTTTAATTCTCATATCAGCTCGCAGATACCTATTCCGCTTGTCCTGCGGTTCATCTCCACGTACAAATTGTTCATAACATTGATCAATTGATTTTTGAACATGCCTGAGACCCTCTATGAATTCCCATAATGTGGGGTGTGAAACACCAAATGATGATGACACCAAATTTATTTGAATGATGATGCAAACTTATTCTAAAAATAAATAAAAATACGAAAAGTATGGCGTCAAACAAAAGCAAAAAAAGTATGGTGTCGAACTGACCCCGCGTCGAAACGACCTCGTGTCGAATTGACCACGCGTCGAAACGCTGTCGTCGAACCGTTGGCGTCGAAACGTTGGCGTCGAAACTGACCTGTACCGTGTCTGTAGATATAGTTGAGAAACAGCCCTCGGGTGCTTCCCTGATGACGTCAGACAGTAGCGGTAGACATGCAAATTTAGGTAACCCCCATAACAAATAATCACACGGATTGAGATCCGGAGACCTGAGTGGCCAAGCATGACCGAAATGGCAGCTGAGCACGTGAACCTCGCCAAAAGATGCCTGCAAGAATCTTTCACACGTGTCGCAATATAGGGTGGAATGCCATCCTACATAATAGTCATGCCTTCCAACAGGTGTTTACCAGCCGAGATGTTGCGATCTTCGCATATCAGCGCACTTCGCACGTGTCACACTGACAATAGCAAAAGCATGTATTTCCTCGAAGAAAAAGGGTCCGATCACGATTGATGTGATAAATCCACATCACATTGTGAGCAACACCTGGAGGCGTGGACAGAAAAGTGACAAAGTCATGCAGGGACTGATTAGCTCATTTCATAGACGATTCTCATTCGGCGTCACTGACATTTGCCTGGCCAACGCCCTATGTTGCCCTTTTTTGCATTTTTTCACTTTCAATAAAAACCCATATCATTTCAATCAAGTGCGTCAATTTTTACCTCACTACCTACATTATTAAGCGAATTATTAGTCCAAAGGGATTTGAATCCCGAAGGACTATTAGTTTCGTTTTGGCATTTTGCGTCGGACTCATAAATGTCGGTTCACTTTTCAAACTGTTGCCACAAAATGTTAGAGTCCTGCATTATATTTGAAGAAATTAAATAATGAAAAATCTGCATAAATGTATGTATATTTCTCGTATTGTGATAAAACAACGGTACATAGAGTCGTCGAATTTTGAATAACGTAATCCTCCAACGAATATGAGCATGTGGAAGACCCAATTTGAAATTTGAAATTGTTTTTATGATCGATTTCCTATTTTTTAAAACTTTGACGAATTTTTGATTAACAAACTCAAGGATTTCAAAGCGAGCAATGGCAACGTTGTGCAGAAAAAACATTTTTATCTCCAGCGCGTGAGTCTCTGTATCGGAAATTCTAAAGATATGCTCGTTTTAAAACTATTTTGCGATATTGCTGTTGCACTGGATCTTATGGTTTAAGTGCGAGGAACATGATATTTAATAAAGAAAGGTAACACACAAAATGTTAAAAAAAACGCCCCTTTGGACGTAATTTAAAATCTGAAACATTTCAGATTTTTTTTTTTTTTGAATTATGAAATGTTAATGAACTTTTGGATCACCCTGTATATAATCGGCTAAGCGAATACATCTGGACATATACTATTATGTGATCTTCATCAACAAAGCAAAACTGAACTGTGATTACGATATAAACTATTTAACTGTTTCAGAAATTTTGCTAATTTTAAAATTTTTATAAAGATTTCCACTTCAGCCATCAAAACTGATAAATTTTAAACTTTCAGCAATAGTACTTTATTACTTTATATTCTAAGCACTATTCAACAAAGTTGCATGCAGAAAATATTAACAGTCAACTTCAAAATACATGACTTCCGCACAATAACATAATTTAATAATAATAATAATAATAATAATAAAAATCTGAAAGCTTTCAGATTTTACATTACGCCCAAAAGGGCGTTTTTTAATGTTTTGTGTGTTACCTTTATTCATTAAATATCAGGTTCTTCGCGCTTAAACCATAAAATTCAATTCAACAACAATATCGCAAAATAAATTTAAAATGAGCCTATCTTTAGAATTTCCAATACTCAATCTCGCGCGCTGGAGATAAAAATGTTTTTTTTTTGCTTCCCCCCCCGTACAGTGTTGCCTTGGAAATTGCGTTGATTTTCTTAATCAAAAATTCGTTAAAGTGTTACAAAATATGAAATCTATTAATAAAACAAATTCCAAATTCGGGCTTCCAGATGCCCACATTCGGTGGAGGATTACATTATTCAAAATTGGATGATTCTAGGTACCGTTGTTTTATCACAATGCGAGAAACATGCATACATTTATGCAGACTCTTCACTACTTAATTTTTTCAAATACAGTACAGGGCGACAATATTTGATGGCAACAATTTAAAAAGTGAAACGAACATTTAAAGTTTTCGAGGCAAAATGCCGAAACAAAATTAATAGCCCTTCTGGGCTAACGCTCTTTTGGGCAAAAAAGTCTGAAATGGCCCAGATTTTAACGGTCGTCCAGAAGGGTTTGTTAAGGTTCTTCTACACTCTCGC